TCCGGTGTTACAATACCCTCCCCATTAGAATAGACCTTGTCCTCAAGGTCCAGATCAGGATATAGCACAGCCATTTCAGAGCGGTCTTCCCATGTGGAGTCTAGAGTGCTATCCCAACGGATCAAAACTTGGGAGACTAGAACAGAATCTCGAGTGATGGTGTGGGTATCTAACACCTCCAGTGGTTGACAGATAGGGCCCTCTAGCAGGGTGGTTAATGGCAATGGCAAATATGATTGGGGTGTATCAGCGCCCACAAATTTCTTGAGGAGTGAAACATGAAAAATAGGGTGTATCTTTGCATGAGCTGGCAAGGCGAGACGGTATGCAACCTGACCAATCCATTCCAGTACTTGGAAAGGTCCAAAGTAGACCAATGATCCAAAACCTACTACAAAATGTCTGAAGGCAATCTCAGCAAATGAATTATCTAGCAAGTTGACCTAGTAAAATAAATAACATGGCAACGAATTAACGGAACAATTGTAAAGATACTGAAATCTAGTGAAGAACATGTGTGTTAAATATCTCATGCACAAGCTTTTACAACAAAATAGCTCTTTTATTTTAAAGTCTTCATATTTCACATGGTTGGAAGGTTCAATGTACCACGTTGCCTTTAACACCAACCAATGATTTTAAGAATTCTATAATTAACAAATATATTTGAGGCAAGAAAACCATAGGAAAATTATAGCAACAGTTGTAAAGGCCCGTCTTTCAAATAATATTAATAATATAACCACCAGAATTTCTTTACCTCAATCCCTTATTTCCCTCCCTTCTTGTCAAAGTACAAGGAAGAGAGGGAGGAACTGAGGAAGTTTCAGGAGGTTCAATCTTCGTCTAGGCTCAGCACGGCCATTGTCCTTCTCCCTGCCCGTCACCAGTGTGTGTATCTGTGAGAGTGAGTCTTTGTATGTTGCTCTATCGTTGTCATCTTCTCTCGTGCGTCGGTTTGTGTAGGGCATGTCCAAATCCCTTCTCCCTCCTCTGTTTTTTTCATAACGCTGCCATATATGTACGCGTGCAGAACATTGTCTTTCCCTTTATTATGTCGTTTGTGTGGATTGGAAAATTGTGGTCTTTCTTCTAATTGGTACTTGTTTTGGCTGTCCCAAGTTTGGTTATTGAATAAAACTGGATTTATATGTAGAGCATATAAGTTTGGGGGTCGTGATAAGAAGAGGAATGGAGCATGCTATTTATTTAACCCATATCAAGTGTTTGATAAAATGTTTGAAAGGAAAAAGCTGATATGGATAAGTGTTCCTTGACTATTTTTTGGTGGAGATGAATTTAGATTCTATTCTGAATTGTTTTGATTTAAATCTTCCATAAAGATTTCACTAACCTTGTGACGATGTGGAATGAATGTTGGTTGGTATTTCAAGAGTGGGGGTAACCTTGTGACGATGTGGAATGAATGTTGGTTGGTATTTCACTAACTGTGGTGCTTGTCTTGTGACATGATTTTAGCATGCGCATGTTTCATTAAATGTGGGAGGAAGGGATTTTGATTCGATTGAGCAGCTATTAAACATGGGTGATGTTTTCATTGTCTACATTTTAGTATAAACTACTTAAATTCTATGCTAGAACCAGAATTTGAAGAGGTTGTTTTAAGTATGTAAATGAAAGTAAAGATAATGAAAAATACTTCTTTTCGTTTAAAAATGTGGTTTTGGTTACAAGTTGATGTGGAAATTAAGGGTTGCAATGTAACCAAAGAATTTATCAAAGGTTTTGATTCATTAAAGGACTCCTCCAGTCCATAGTGCAGGACTTAATTTGAGACTTGATATCGGCTTTACGTGTAAAACTTGTTTCACATGTTTATTAATTTTTTTCAAATTAACTCTACTAATATTCCTTCAACAATAATTAAGTAGGAGAGAAAATGAGAAAATTAAGAAAGATGATTAGGGTGTTTAAAAAAAATCATATTAGCTAATTTAAGTAACATCCTTAATTTACTCAAATTAGTTAATTAATTAGGTTTTATATTAAAGACGGAAGAATGTGTTATAAGGTAGGCAGTGATTACAACATTGTCTAGGGCTAAAGTTGAATTATGGATGGAGTATATGACTCTCGAGCGAGAATCGAAAATTTTAAAATCTGTTGTATGAAAAAGAATTATGCCTTTCCTTCCCTTAGGAGTAAATTCAAGTACAAAGGGGAGTACCGTAAATCAAGTGAACTATGATGGGTTTCATAAAATTTTAGAGTTAAAGGCGAATTGGCCTGGGAAATTTCCACGCAAGAGTGTTTAGCACCAAAAAAATTTTTGGTTTAATTTCACTTTAGAAGTTTAAAATTATAGAAATTTTAAAAATTTGTTGCCGTGTTTTTGTTATACATTGAAACGCTTAAAAGTGAATTACTATATTTGGGAACATATTAGGCGAGTGAATAGTGCCCCAATTAATTCATAAGTAAATTTCTCTTATCAAAATACTCTTCTGATCTTATTTATAAAGCACTTCTAGCATGTTTCATGCACACAAACTAAGAAAAATTTTAAACTGTATTAACTCTTCATTAAAATATAACAACTTTTTAACTTTACCTCTATTTAATACACGCACCTTTTAAAAAATAACTATTTACAATATACTAAATAAAGGACAAAATAGTACATTCATGCTAAAACTTTAGTGAAGTGGCTTATAAATAAAACAAAAAATATATTCTCTCTCTGCCTTATAAATAAAACCAGAAGAGTATATTGGTTTAAATAATTTACATGTATTATAATATACTTCTAATTATACTATTGATTATTGTGTTGTTTGAAGTATTTTACATACATTGGTTTTGGAGAGGAAGTTAGATTTATTTTATGAAAGGTTATCATTATATTTAATGGTTAAGATGTAAATTTGCCTTGAAAGATTTTACTCAAAAGCATTAAATACCTGTCAAAAGTTTTTTTGGGTTCAAATTTATCTGGAAATGAAGGACAAAATAGTACCACCTTCATGCTAAAACTTTAGTGAAGTGGCTTATAAATAAAATAAAAAAATTTCTCTCTCTACCTCATAAATAAAACCAGAGGAGTATATTGGTTTAAATAATTTACATGTATTATAATGTACTTCTAATTATACTATTGATTATTGTGTTGTTTGAAGTATTTTACATACATTGGTTTCGGAGAGGAAGTTAGAGTTATTTTATGAAAAATTATCATTATATTTAATGGTTAAGGTGTAAATTTGTCTTGAAAGTTTTCACTCAGAAGCACTGAATACCCGTCAAAAGTTTTTTCAGGCTCAAATTTATCTTAAAAGTTTAAAATTTAGCAATATTGCTTCTTACCGTCAAAAGACTAACATTGATTATTAACGTTTTTAACAGTAAAGTACATTATTGCTACGAATTTAAACTTGCAAGACAGATTTGCACCTAAAAAAACTTTCGGGTGCCCGTGCTTATAAGTAAAAATTTTTAGGGCAAATTTACATCTAATCCCTATCTATAAAGTGTGAAATATAATGAAATTACTATTCCAGACATCTAATATAAGATCTAGTTTGTGGTTTGAACTATAAACTAATTCTTATACTAAGAACGGAAGGTAATACTTAATTTTATGATCTAGTGAAATATGTCCTCATTATCATTTTTAATACAAGATATAGTCAATGGTATTGAAAAGAGATGACATTTAGATGTTACAGACTCCATGCATGCTTACAAGAGGTTAAGGCATTGAATGTTGAACGCTAGTTTTGTTAGCCTTCGGCGCACCATTATGCAGATCCTTATGGACTAACCGGAAGGGTACAATCCATAAATCCCGCATGGGATGTGGAAGGTGCTTAGCTAGCAGGTGTATGAGAGGTGCTAATCCTGTGTAATAACTAACACACTTGAAATGGAGGAATGAATATTTGTGAGTGTCACACTCGCAATTTTTAGTTGTGGGCCATGTACCCGCGTTTCTTGGGTGGCTTTGAGCTGCATGATTGATTAGTTAATCTTTGTAGATTGTGTGTCCATTTTTATGATCTCTTGTGCTAAGGAACAGGTTTGGGGAGATATATATATATATATATATATATGATATCTGTTCATATGGGACAGCTTCTTTTCATTGTAGAATTTTTGTGAGGTCCCATTTATAAGTTGAGGGTTGGATTTATCATTTTAGCTTTTATATTTATCTTTTTTTAAATTAATTTATTTAACTTGTAAATTGATATATAATCTACTGTTATACAAAGGTATACTATATATATATTTTTAAAAAAAACATTTAGCGGCAACTTGCCATCAACAAAAAGTTGCTGCTCCAAAAAGTTTTCAATGGCAACAATGATAATCGCCGCCAAAACTGCATTTTAGTGATGGCTTTTTTAAGTTTTGACAGCCCATTTGTTACAGTTGAAAACTGGTTTCAATAGCGGCAAAACAGGTTACGGTAGAAGGTATCTTTTATTGTTGACAGAAATGTTGCTGAAAGTGTTTTTTAAAAAATTATTCTCAAAGAAAAATATGGGTCACTGGTCGTCAGATGTTCACCACGTCAGCCATTTATTGAAAGTCTTACTTTCAGCTATGACTGTTTAGAATTACTGCAGAAAGTCTCACTTTCAGCAGCGAAATTCTAGAGCCGCAGCTGAAAATTAGACTTTCATTTGTACCTTATATTGTTACCACTAAAGAGCATACTTTTTGCATTGACTTTTAAAGTTACTATAGAAAGCTAACTCTCAACAATGACTTCTAGAGTTGTCGTACAAAATATTAATTAAAAGTCAATTTTTGTAGTGGTATTTTTGAGAGATCATATCATATTTGTTATAATTGATTAATTTATTTAAATTATTTGATTTATCCAAATTAGTTAAGTAACACTTATATTAATATAGTACTTTTGATATTAGTTGTTTACTACTTGGAACATGTCTAAAAAACCAACATAATTTTTCTTGCCAAAGTCCAAAAAACAAACAAAAGAGACCAAAGCTTTTTTTAGCAATAATCCTTACCTGTCAAATGTTGCTGGAGGTCACCATTAGCCATGTACTCGTAAATTAATGCCCTAGCACCACTCTCTTCACAGTATCCAATCAGACAAACCAAGTGTTTATGATGAACAACAATCGAAAGTTCTACCTGCAATTTATACTCAACTTTATCATCTTTATAATAAGAATAAACTTAAGTAGAACGAGGCATCCATGAGAAAACAAAAATATAATTTCTTTGTTAGATTTCGTTTTCACCTCTGATCGAAATTCTTTATGACCTTGCCTTGATGACTGAGAAAGTAACTTCACTGCAACCTGAGTATTATCCTTAAGAGTGCCTAAATAAACTTTTCCAAATCCTCCTTCTCCAATCAAGTTTTGGAAGTTATTAGTGATTTCAAGAACCTCTGAGTAAGAAAAAGCACGATTTCTTAAATATTCCCATGCTTCTTGATTTGTTGAAACAGTAGAATCCACTGCAAATGTTAATAGGGGTTTTCGGAACTGCACGTCAGGTGTGTTATGAATTGGAGAAATGAATATTGCACAAGATATGTTAGGAGAATTAAAAACGTGGACAATAGCACTAGGATATTTTCTCTGCCATTTCAAAGGGGTATGACTAATAACAGACAATTATTCTGACGCAAAAGGAAAAGGAGAATATAAAAGGTAATATTGAAATTCATGGTAACAGTAACATTTTAATTAGGGTCACTTGATATGAGGGAAAAAAATTAGAATTAGAGCTGACTTTGGATGCTCACCACTCTTGACCCCAAACTCATCAAATACGGGCCAGATTTGAAATTTTTAAATGATTATTTTTAAATAAAATCCATCTTTTAAAAAAATAATAGTTAATAGATTATTTTTATTTTAAATTTTATAGCCATTAAAATAATTATTTTTAAAAAATCAAAAAATTAAATTCAGACCTTTCAAATCAGATTTGGACCTCCAGACGGCACAATCCAAATGATGAGCATCCAAACTCATTCCAATAAGCAAGTAGGTGATTTATTATTTTTAATTGGTTTAAGAAATAATAGGAACTAGTTTTAGTGATGAGCACCCTAAGTTTATCAGATCTTAGCTGTCTATATCTCATTTGAATGGTTCATATTTAAAATATTTAATTAATTATTTTTAAATAGGAAAATAGGAAAAACTATTTTTTTTTTTGAAAAAATGATAGCTAAGAGATTATCTTTATTTTAGATTCTATGCATATTGAAATAATTGTTTTGAACAAATAAAAAGGAAAAAAAAATCAAATCTGAACCATTCAAATAAAATATGGATGATCAAGATCTAATGAGTTTAAAGTGCCTATTAAAGTAATGAGTACTGAAATTAGTTCCCAAATAATATGACTTCTTCAAAATTACGCTCAATAAAGTTATTAGTTAGAGATTAAAAAAGCTGTTAGGGAAAAAGTTATTATCAAAACATGTTATATAATGAAGGATAAATGAGCATCCATATCCAACACCCTGTTCAATTTTATGATGTGCATCCTACATCCTAAACATACTTTCTCATCTCATCCTTTGCTTGCTAAGGAAAAGGCTGCACGCGAGGAGAGAGTAATAAAAACAAGCAGTATTTTGTATGTACCTTCCAGTTTTTTCATTTTGAAGATCCAAATTCCTAGGGAAATCAGAATTACGACCGTCGAAGCTGAAACAGATACAATTAATAGAATAGGGAATTTGTGCTTTTTCTTCTTCCATGGATCCCTCAAACAGAGGCCAGGATTATCGTCCAAACTGAAAGATAAGTCAAATGGGTATAGTTAAAATTACAAATTGAATTTGACTCGGTAATATTTATTGAGTTTTATCTAATAATTATAAATCTTTTCCATTAATAGCCTTAAGAAAAGCAAGAGCCAGTGTAAACTGATTTAGTTTAACACAAGGGGTGAAAAAAGGCAGTAACGGCTGAGCAACTATGACAGATTCAAGGTGAGAAACCTCGTTTTCAAATCTGAATTTTCTTTAAGAGCCTTGGGAATTGAACCTGTAAGCTTGTTGCCACTCAAGTTACTGCACAAAACAATGTGAAATGCATTCAATTAGCATGGGGTCTTCAAGTTATGAACATATATCAGGTATTAAAAAATATATTAATGCATTTTGTAAAACTTACAGGATTCTCAGCTTTGGCAATTTAGCAAGAAATTCCGGTATCGGTCCTGACAGGCCATTGCTTGATAAATCCCTAAAACAAAAGCAATATTTTATATGACAAAATTCTTAATTATAGTTGAGATTTTGTCCTGATGAAATTATTAATTATATACTTACAAGTATTCTAACTCTATAAGTTGCGAAAATGAAGCAGCTATTTGTCCTCTTAAGTTGGTGGCGCTCAAGTTTCTGCTTTGATAATGATTAATAGATATACAAAGGCAGAGGAGTTTGATGATTATATTTTGAATAATTAACATCAAATTAACTCAAGTCAATTTTACATTTAAGTGTCAAACAAGCCAATATTTTGGAATGAGTTGAACTAATAATTACAGTGAGATTCTTTAAGGAATGCTTACTTTAACTCAACAAGAGCGAAAACAGATACTTACAGTGAGAAAATCCTGGGCGAGTTATTGATGTCATATCTGCAACTAAGTCCCCGCCATCCAAATTTTTCCGGAACACATGGGTCACCTTGCCACTCTACTTTGTAGATTTCGTAGATTTCTTTTATGTCCCGAATGGCATCCGCTATATTGTTGCCAATAATAAATAGGGTCTCAGAAGTCAAAGCCAACAGATTCGGAGATCATGAAACAACAATAGAAAATAGTAATTGGTTGAGGAATTATAATACCATCTGTTTGGTAAGTTGGAGACGTGAGTGGTGATATGAATCTATAAGTTTCGATGGCATTAAGGATTGGCGCAGCATCAGATTCTGGTGTTGCACTTATGCTGAAACGAAGACGATCTTGATCTGTAAAATTACTAACTGTCACCGGCTTTAGGTACTCAAGAATTATCGGCTGTGTGTTGAAATTTTCACCATTAACAGTAATATCAATTACTCTCTTTTGTCCAGCGGGAAGCTCCTCAATTTCAACAAAGTGAAAGTAGACATAATATATGAAGGACCTTTCAGTTGGTGTCGTCCAGATAGAGTTATAGTCAAGGCTTAAAGCAAAGGAGCGATTCAATGATGCAGTCGCAGACTTGAGCACTTCTGCTGGTAATTTGTAAGAATCGTTTGTTCTTTCAAAATCAATATATTTCGACGTACTGAACTTTTTCCAACCTTTATCTTCAAAAACATCGTCCACACGCCACACACGATCATACGTGTCATCCGTATACCTATATGCTTGCAGTATTAGATAAATAAATACACAATTCATTGAAAAACCTGGATGATGAAAGCATGCAAAACACTAACAACAAATATAATATTGGAGTCACCTTGTAAACCGGCCTGAAATAAACTCAGTGGAACCAACATCGACTCTCGTAGCAAGGACGAGCAGTGACTGAGAAGGAGAAGGGGCTAGATAAACGGAATTGGGAAGAGCTTGTAGTTCCAACACAGAAATGAAAGGGATTCCTTTGCCAATGTTGACTAGGCAAACTTGTATGGTGTCGATTGGGGGAGTAAGGATAACCTCTGCAAATTGATAATCGGCATAATCCAAGGCCACAGTAGTCCAAAAATCAACATTAAGGAACAAGTCAAAAGTCGAAGTTTGATTTTTGAAGTCATAATTTCCATATAAAAAGAAAGCTCTGATGAGGTAATTGTTATTTTTGCCTAGTTTTGGTTTCAGGGTGTAGCAGTTCTTTTTTCCTTCTGGAAAAAATCTCAACGTCGGCAGTTGTCTTCCCAAAAAAGAATCACCAAAGTCAGTTCTTGTTTCAGGAGCCACTATTGAGTTTGTTCCTGTTTCTATGAAACCGATGTCTGTGTGATACGAGATTCCAATTTTTGGATCCGTGTATTGAGAACTTGCTCCACAGTCAATGCTTATGAAATCTGTGTGCGCAAAAATTGACACAAATTTACACAAGTGCAGTAGTTTATGGTTAGTTTTATATTTAACCATCGAAATTTGTGAGACTTAGAGGATCAACAGCCCTTCTCTGCCTCTTCATTTTCCCCTGCTTTTCAATCTTTTTCTTATTTCTTATTATCATTATGAGTTATATTTTAATATCTTAGAGGTGAAAAACGGCGCAGTTTCAAATTTTTTTAATGACTTTTCTTAAAAAAAATTGTATCTAAATTTAAAAGAAACTACTCAATTTTAGAGTTTTTTTTTCTTTGAAAAATTGTTAAAAGAAGAAATTTTAAGCTACACCATCTTGTGCCTATAAGATATCAAAGTATCACTCATTTTATATAAAATCTAATGATAACAAACCAAAGAAAAAAAATTAAGAAGTGAGGAAAAATTGCGGAGCAGCTAAGAGGAGGTAGCTAACACTCGGAATCCAACTTTGTCTCCTTACCTCGGTGAGCAGCATCGTCTAGCATTGCATCACAGATATTAAGTAAAAGTTCGATCAAGACGAAGCATACAATCCATTGTGGTGCCTTCTCCATGAGATTAGTTGAATTCTATGAAGACGCTATCTCTGGCTCATATTATTGTGTTATGATAAATATAAATATATATATAAAATAGGAACAGTTAAGTAGAAGATAAGTTTAAAAAAAAAAAAAAGAACAGAAATGAACTAACCATGCACTCTGGGAGATCTCAGATTCAAACCAAGATGAGCAGAGGTTTGTGTACGCTAGTAAAGAGGATGGGGTATGTGTTTATATAAGTAGAAATTGTACGGAATTAATAATTGATGATAGATCTTTTAGCATGGTATTAAAAACCGGATCGGACTGACCGGTTCAGGCCGGAAACTAACAAATGGGCCACTTGCCCGGTCCGGTTCTATTCAAAAAACTGGAAAACACCTGACTCGACATAAACTGTTCTGAATCGGAGTGACTCGGATATAACCCAGGTAACCCGCTGGGTTGGAAGGGTTACCTAGGTTAAACTTTTTTGCTTTCCAATGGAGTCACCACGCCATTACAGCTGGGAAAAAAAAAGCTTGAAGAAAACTGAGAGAGAGAGAGAGAAGCAACTGAAGGAAGAATAAACTTAAAATAAAGAAGAAAGATGAAAAAAACTACCGAGCAATACAGTCCTTAATGGGAAGGAGAAGGCGAAACTAAATCGTTGATGAGAGGTGGAAAAAAAAAAAAAAAGACGCCGACCAGACTTGCAGAAGATGGAAAAAGGTGCAGACGAAGAAAGGAGAAAGGAAAGGAAGGGAAAAAGAAGAGAAGGCTAAGCGTTTGCGTATGGAAAGATGAAGTGTGCTAATATTAATGTCAAGTCTGCTAAAGTCGCACGTGAAAATTAAATGCAAACAAGAAAAATAAAATTTTAGTCTCGTATTTCCATACAGTTTTACTTGTTGTATGATGATATCTAATGCATCGGCATACAAGTCTGGTAGATGCGGAAAACACAGATAGGTTCCGACCCAAAAAAGTTGTTCATTTTTATATTGCTTCTTATTTTAATTATTAATTAAACGTTTTTTATATTATTATTTTATCTAAAATATTTACTATATAATTAAGAATTATATTATTTTAGTTATAACTAGTTTGACTCTGATCTAACCCACTAACCCTCAACTCAGTATCTTAACTGGTTTATTTACTGACCCGGTGTTTAATATCTTGTCTTTTAGAGGTGGCGGATTGATGAGAGGTCGTAGTCTGCTTTCATTGTTTCTTTGATTATATGTATTTTTTGAATTACTACTTAATAATTAATGATCGGTCTTTGATAGAACAATCATGCCAATTCACTCACCCTGATTAGTTATGGTGACCAACCATGCACCATGCATATACATCATCCTTAAATATGGGCCCCGTAAAAACACTATTACCCAGCTGACTTGGTCCACGTAAACGCAAGATCGCTTGGGCTTGTCTGGAACGTGAAGATGGTCCTGCGTAATATGTACAACTAGCTTCCATATCTTAACATTTAGTTTTCCAGAATTATTTCTAGTGAATATATATACACTTTTCTGAAGAGTGTTTATTTAATTAGTTCTATTTATTTATAAGTCACATCATTAAATTGTGTATATGAACGTACAATTTTACCCTTCATTTATTATTATATTAATTATTGTTTTCTTGAAAAACTGTGTGGATATTAAATATGGTAAAATTAAAAGGTTATTAAAATATAAGGCAAAGTACTGGTTAATGATGTTGAAAATTTTTCTTAATTCAAATAAAATATGTTGTCATTGCTTTATAAAATATGTATGTATATGTGTATGTATGTATATATGCGTCAACCTTGAATACTATTTGCCAGCTAGCAGAAATATATTCCATTAACTTCAAATTTAATTGGATCGTTCATAAGTTTATTAATTAATGTGTGTTACGGGGAACGAGTTCGGATCTTTTATTCTTGTGCAGGTAGAACAGTTCAACACTCAGAAGCTAATGCTTCTTCTTTTTTTCCCCTCGTGCTAAGCTGATGCTTTTATTTTTTTTTATTTCTATTTCATTTTATTTTATTTTTTGGCTAATAAATGTTAATATTTATTCAAATTAACTACCTCCATGCAATACAACGAAAATCATAAATATGACAAAGTAGTTGTACCAACTGACAAAGATATAATGTAATGAGTCCTTTGACTTGAAGAAAAAATGAGAGAACTTCAGCGGATCCCTAAAAAATACATAATTTTAAGTAGGCCCTCAAAGATTCTAAAATTTCAATTTAATATTTAAGAATAAAAATAAAATTATATTTTTTCATGTGAAATGACCAAAATACTCTTGCTTTTTTTTTTTGAAACAAAAAAGGTTAACCACTGCCACCTAAAGTAATCAAGAGAAAGGTTTGAAACCTTGACCCTTTAACTCACTAAAAAATTTGTAACCACCAAACCATCAAACCCTTTTAACTCTATAACTCAAAACCTTACATATATAATAAATTTAGTCTCTTAATTTACATAATTTACAATTATATCTAAGCATTTTAAAAATTAAAATAACAAAATTTACATTTGAAAATATATAGCATAATTTACAGCTCACAATTTACATTATAAGAGCTTTTCGTACAAAAATTTACAAGAATACATAAGTATTTTAATAAAATGCGTATATGTAATTATAAATTTCTATCAGAACTTGCAAACATGTAAATTGGGAGCTGCTTCAAAAAAAAAAAGAAGTAATCAATAACAAAGAACCCGTTTGTGTGCATGTGGGTCTTTTTTTTTTTTTTGGGCTGGGTTGTTTTTGGGGGGGGGGGGGATTAATATAGGGGATCACGATAAAGATTTGTAGTTTCCCGTCCATTCAATTTAAATGAAATGACCCACCTTGAATTTTCGCTATTTAATTTTTATAGTGTTTTTCTTGCGCTAAGGGAGAGACAAATTGACTTGACTCAACGTTTGATCACTTTCAGACTTTCTGGGATCATATTTTATTTAAGTTGTCTTTATCGCTTCAAATTTAGTTGACCGGCGAATTCGAAGTCATGTGTTGATGTTTTCTCCAGGAAAACTACATGCTTCAACGTGAGACTACGTGCAAAAGATAACATTTTTTTTAACCGACAAAATATTATCTAAAGATAACATTTAACGATAGTTTCTTTTTAAAAAAAACATTTATAATCAAATGTTGACAAAATATAACATTTGTTTTGGCTTGAAACTGCGGTATTTCCTGACTGATAACTTAGAAACTAATTTCTGAGACATAGAGATTCTTAAAGTGGATTTTACCTTTCTTAATAAATATAACATTTTTTTTAATACTGGAGTAATTTTTTCGGTGACAGCATAATATTTCTTTATAAATTTACTACTTTATTAATGAGATTAAAAACATGCATTGACAAAATTCCAAGAACATGAAAGATCTAATTAAATAGTATAATTACTACCGTATCGAGTAGGGGAGAGTTGGATCTCTAGGAGTCTACTCTACTGACATCTTGTGGTCCTGCAATTCTAATTGAATGAGTCAGAAATGAAAATTTAAAGGTGATGGTAAGTTGTAGTTAATGTCGGCAGACTTGGAACTCTTGATCTACAACTGTCAAGGGTCTAGTTGGCCACCCAAAAAAATAGTTATGGTTCTCATCATCGGCGTATAACAGGTTCACCGAACTAAATATGTTTACTAATTAATTTCAGAATTCTAGTCAATGAGCTGTCCCGTTATAATTCATGTTAGTAACAACCCTATGAATATTATTAATTATGAATTAATATAAAATATAAAATTGATAATAAATTCTACTTTTTGATTCATACACTGATATTTCTTAATTAGCTGAAGGTTTAAAACTAATCCCTTTTACGACGTGGAGATCACAAAAGTTTTGCCTCTCTTAACAAAGTCTTTTCCATACTCATAGTTAATCTAGTTATACTACCTCTGGTCCTTAATATAAGACCCTATTTGACTTTTATTTTGATCCTAAATATAAGACCCCAATCCACTTTGTCTTTCATATTTATATATATATTTTCCAAAATAGTCCTTCTAACAATGATAGTTTAAGTCAATATACTTGATTAGCAAGGATATTTTAGGAAAGACAACACCTATTTAGGACAAATAACTAACTCAACTTACTTTCTTAATCTCTTCAAATTAGTCAACTGGCTCTTATAATTAAGACTAGAGGTAGTATTTCGACTGTGGGATCTTATTATTAACCATAAGAGAAAATTTGGTGGTATCACAAGGATGATAATATTGAATTTAAAAAAAAGGGTACGGAATTGAAGATTCAAAATCTCGATTGATTAAAACTCCATGTTATGATTGTCCAAATAATTAACATATGGTTTAGAGTCCATATCTAAGGTTTTCGGGTATTTATGATTTCTGAGATCTTGAAGTCACCAGACACCATAATAAGGTCAGATTCTTCCAGTTAAGCTAATTAAAGTGTAGTTACAAGCTTGAATCTGCTAATTAAGGAACCCTGTATAAACCGTAAAATTATCATTGTGGGTCCTTTTGTGGTTGTTAGAGCGAGCTGATTTAAAAGACTATGAGATGATTTGGATTGTGGAATTCACTTTGATGCAAGATAGTTTCTCATTGAAATTATATATAAAAATATGACGTTAGTATTAAATAATTTTTATTCTTAGTTTAATAATAAAAGACATAAAAAAAGTCAAAATCACCAATCCACTGACAATTTTTTTTTTACCCAAACTCTGGATTATTTTGACCCTATAATATGATTCATAAGCCCTCGTTTCATTTTGGAAAAATATTTTTCTCGAATCTTTATCGATTTTTTTTTGTGCAATTCGTGTGTCATCTCCACGGGAGGACCAAAAAAATTTTGGAAAAATCATGTTTGACCTTTTCCACTCCAAATTAATGTTGATATGATTTGTAGGTGGAATCATTAATTCCCGAACAAAACTTGAAGTTTGGATGGCCTGAGGAAAATCGATATGAATCGAGTTTAAAATTCGAGTAATGACATCAACGGAAGATTCAATTTA